AAAACTCCAAAGCGAATGACGACACCCGCATACGCTGAAGTCTTATGAGAAAGAAACTTGGTGAATAAAACATAACGATTACAAATAAAATATATAGTATAACTAATACATATATGAATTATATAATAAATATGATATAAATAATAACAATAGATTAAGCAAACAACAAATAAAAAATAATACTTCTGTAAATTATTGTTATTAAAATATTTAAAAAGTAAAAAGAAGAAAGGTTTAACAAACTAAATTAACAAGTCTTCGTAGAAGCGAACTCTAACCCAAATTTCCTAACGAATGTAATCTCTAACAACTACACTTTTGCCCTCAACCGAATGACTAAATAGTTCTCAGAACATATCTTACAGACGATTCTTGCGAGTTTCTTGTCACTCGTATTCGTTGTTTGAAACATAAATTTCAAAACAACTACACTTTTGCCCTCGTCTATTTGGTCTATACAATTCCCAGAGCATATCTTATAGTCGTTGCATGCTAGCAAGTTTCATATCTTGCACCAGTATTCGTTATCGTCGATTACGTTCGTTATTCCGTTTGAGCCAAGAATCCACAACTACTTAGATAGGTTAACTAAAAAAACGTTTATTTTTAAAAAGTAAACGTTAAAATAACACTCCATTGCCACTACATCAGAAATATGAAAAAAAAGAACTTAACGTTTTATGTTGATCTATAATTTATAAGATTTACAATAACAACAAAGAATTTTATTGGTCAGTACTACGTTATGTGTACATCATTAGTTTATTTAGCAAATAGATATTTAAGATATTTCTTTCTAATATGAAGATGTTTCGCTTTTCTTTCAGCACGTTTAATGGCCATATTATTGTTGTTACGGTTTTATCCAAATGTATCTTAATCAACCTAGCCTCAAGGATTTTTATATCTAAATAACAACATGATAAGTATCGTATTTATTTTATTATTTTTTTTTTATTTCATTTACATACCCTTTCTTAATTTTTGGACATTTCATGGTAATTT